CTAATGATTGAAGAGTCCGATTTATAGAGGAACCAAAGGAGAATGAATACCACAAACTCCACCTAGCTAAAAATAGTGTTGACAAATGTTTGAGTTTCGAATGAGAAAATCATGCACGGTCGTCCCTCTTGTGCGTTTTCTATTTATGGAGTTGTATAAGTGTGAATATAATGTATATACTCCAGGATATTGCACAATTTGTGTCTCATCTAGGAGTAATTTCAATTCGGTTTATCGGTTTTATAGGAATAAAAACCAAATAAAAATCATTTGTAATACGGTTTAGCCTTATTTGCTTTCATATAATTACTTCGATTGGATTTTAGTTTGAATTTGGTTTAATTGTAGAAAATATAATCTAAAACACAAATATCGTTCTCTTCGATTGGATTACATTTATCTTATATAATATTTTAAAATTTTTCAAAACCAAAACTATGAGAAGCTGCCATATGACACCCATTCTCTTGACATTTGGCATTTGAATTTATCTATTAAAAAAATAAAAATTTTGTGTTAATAACTTGACAATTAATTTCAACAATTTAATGGCTAATTTCAATATGAAATGTGTTATTGTGAATTTTTAATGGTTTGAAAAATAGTTATTTTATTTGTTAAATCCAACAATATAATATACAAAAAATGTTTAAGACTTTTAGTTTTACATAGGTAATTGTGATTTTGTTTTCTATTCACAAAAGAGAATCATCGATAAAAAGAAGCCTAACATGAACAAAAATAAAACAAAATGCTGTGAAAAAAATTAAGATATGGTTTTAAAATTTTTAAGATTGTTAAAATCTGATTGGAGATGTTCATAATTAATTTTTTTAGTATTCACACCTTCTAAAGCCAATTTTCTAACTACCCTTAATGAAATTAATACAATTTGTAGTAGACATAACACTTTTATCCAATACTCTTGAAAAAACATTAATCCACCACAAATTATGAATCTAGAAAAACGGAATCACTTCACCAATGAATTGATGTTAAAGATAAAAAAATAATCATATCAAAACGATAAAGAGAATGAGATAAAATACAATAAAACATCAATTATTCTCTCAATACGTTTCAAAGTTCCATTGAAATAAACACAAAGATACATTCCAACATCTTTGTTGAGATAATGCATATGTCAAGGTAAATCAAAATCATATTACAACTTCTCTAATCAATAATTTTTTTTATAAATGTGTTTGATACAAGAAAAAAGACAATAAATTATTTTTTACAGAATCGTAGTGAATATTGATAAAAACATACAAGTTAGAGACTTGTCCCAAAGAAGATGTCTTTTATATGTTGTAGTCTTTTGAAAGGTCTAATTCTTATTTCATATAACATTGTATATGTCCAATAATTTGCTACAAGTGTTTAAATTTCTAATCTAGGTAATTATCTATTATAAACATCAAATTTATGTAATATTAAATACACAATTTGTCAATAATCTAGAAATTATTGCATATTATATAATATTTATTTTTAAATCCACGTAACGCGTGGGCAATCCCTAGTAACAAATAAGAGCAACCTCATCACTGATTTTAGGAGAGTTTTTTAGAAATAATAAATTGAAAAATATAAAAAATGAGGTGAGAAACTTAAGATAGTTTCTCAAATGAGAAACTTTAAGAGCACCTCCAGTAGGTTGGAGGTTCTCCAAAAATTTCT